TTAGCCATTTCTATCTTTACCAACAATAATTCTTATTTTTTCAAACATATTTTTGTTTAATATAAAGAATATATAATATTAATGTATGTTCAACTTTTTTATAAAATTTATAAAAAAAATTCTATATTTTTATTTTTTATTATTTAATTTATGAGGTAATAAAAATTAATCATTTACCAAGAAGAAATGCAATTCCAATATATTGTTTGAACATTGATTTTTAATATTGTGGTCAAACCAATTATATATATATAATATATATGTTRTTTATTATTTATTTATAAATATGTTATTTATATTGCATTTTTGTAAACTTTTTATATGATGGAAATGGTTGAAAAATACTTAAACATTTTGTTTTTTATTTCACTTGTTATATTTTCTTTTTCTTCAAATAATTTATTATTTAAAAAAATTAAATCAGATTTTATCAGATTCGTATATCCGACATCTTGATCAGATTCGGATTCGAATCAATATCAATATTTATGAGATCTAGTTGAATCTTTGGATCATATCAGATTTGAATATACCCTGATTCAAATCTAATTTGATTTGTTTGCATCCCTACCAAACCACTTGCTTACGATGACCTAGATAATTAAATTATTGAACCATTTGACATGGTTAGTCGGGTCATGTATTAGACATTAATGCTTTTTATTTTTTATCCTAATTTTTATCCCATTTTTATCATTAATGAAAATAATTCTCATTAATCACATTTTTTATATGATGAATATATAATATTATAGAGTGTGCCCAAAATTATCGGCAAATTTCTATATTTTCTAGAATTTTATGTATTTTATTATTTAATAATAACATCATGTATTGATCCATTTGACATGGATAGTTTAACCACTAACACACCATTTGGATGGAAAACCATTTTGCTTTTTTGGTTAATTTTAAATTATGTATTCAATTTTCATCATCAATAAAAGTAATTCTTATTTTCAATTTATTTTGTTTAATATGGTGAATAGATAACAATAGAACTGTATCAAAATGCTTTATACAAAACTTATATTTTTCTTTGAGTTTATATATATATATATATATGTGTGTGTGTGTGTGTGTGTGTGTGTGTGTGTGTATTTAATATTTGTTACTTAGTTATGACATCATAGATTGACCCATTTGACCCGGAATGTTAGATCATTGACCTACCTACCATCTAGATATGGAAATAGTTTCATTTTCAAATTGGTTTAAAATTTTTCATTTGATTTATATCATTGATAAAATAATTATTAATTATCATACTTATTTTTGTTTATATTATTAGTACATAATATTATAGATGTGYCCAAAATTGTTTCATATTTTTTTTGTACTATTCTATTTTAAAAAAATATTTTTAATTATGCATCATGGATCAACCTATTTGACCTGAAAGGTTGAACCACTAATCCACCCCCTAGATAGGAAGATGGTTTAATTTCCCATCGGTTTTAAGTTGTATATTTGATGTCCATCATTAATAATATTATGTCTATTTTATCATACTTATTTTTTAATATGAAAAATATAATAATAGAAACGTGTCCAATTTTTTTTTCAAAATTTTTTCTATATATTTTTTTGTATTTTTTATTTTTCTAAATTTGTATTACTTATTTATGGCATCATGGAATTATCCATTTGATTCAAATGGTTGAAGTACTTACCCACGACTTTGATGGAAAATATGATTTCATTTCTAGGTTTATTTTAAAATATAAAATTTCATTCTATTAATAATTATTGTGTATAGATTTATTAGTGTTATTTAATGATGGTAAACGCAAGTATTTTTTATATTTCTAAATTTGTATTATTTATGTATGGCATYATGAATATCATTGGTAAAATAATTATTGCTTATCATACTTATTTTTGTTTATATTATTAGTATATAATATTATAGATGTGCCCAAAATTGTTTCATATTWTTTTGTAATATTCTATTTTAAGAAACTTATTTTTAATTATATATCATAGGTTAACCTATTTGACTTGAAAGGTTGAACGACTAGCCCACCCCTTAGATAAGAAGATGATTTAATTTCCCATCGATTTTAAGTTATGTATTTGATGTCCATTAGTAATAAAATTATGTTTATTTTACCATACTTACTTTTTAATATGACAAATATATAATAATAGATACATGTCCATTTTTTTTCAAAATTTATTTTTCTATATTTTTTTGTATTTTTTATATTTCTAAATTTGCATTATTTATTTATGACATCATGAAATATTCCATTTGACCCAAATGGTTGAAGTACTTTCCCATGACCTAGATGTAAAATATGATTTCATTTCTAGGTTTATTTTCAAAATATAAAATTTCATTATATTAATAATTATTGTGTATGGATTTATTAGTGGAATTTAATAATGATAAATAAAAGTATTTTTTTATATTTCTAAATTTTTATTATTTCTTTATGACATCATGAAATTATCCATTTGACCCAAATGGTGAACTACTTACCCACCACCTAGATGAAAAATATGATTTCATTTCTATGTTTATTTTAAAAATATAAATTTTCATTCTATTAATAATTATTGTATGGATTTATTAGTGGAATTTAATGATGATACACAAAAGTATAAATGTTGGATTCAATGAGAGAGAATGTGATTTATTTAATGACTTAAATGTGAGATTTAATGAGAGGTAATTGAATGTACTTAATGGTATTCTTTTAATTACATTTTCTTCCATTTATATGAGAATGAACTAAATTCAAGATGAGGGATATTTTAATAAAAAAAATTTCCAGAAAACAATGCCTCTTCATCTGTACTTTTATAAATAGTATAGATATAGATATAGATAGATTATTAGAAATGTAAATATGTAAATGGAGGTATCTCTTAGAAAGGAATAGACGTTAATTTAGGCTATACTGAATGGGAGGTAAAGAAATAGACAAAAAAGATTAATTTGTAAAAGTAATTGATCCTGTCTTGCTTAGGTTCTTTGCCCATGTTACCTCAGCTGAGTTTACATCACCCTTCCCACAAGGGGGCGCCCGTTGTGGGACGTTGTGGGGCTGTGAAAGTAATTGATCCCACAGTACGTTGTGGGGCGCCCCCTTGTGGGGGGCTGATGTTACTCGCCTCATCTGGCTTTTGTTTGTCCTTGCTCAAAGAGTTCATCATCCCGTTCTATAATCAAATAAATGTGGCAGCAAAAGGCCCTACTTAGCATTTGGGTTCCCTTTGGTTTGTTCTCAAGTCAGACTCTAAACCAATGTGGGTGGGTCCCACAACTGGTGCCCAATATTAAAACTATTTATTGATATTGCAGGTTCTGATCCTCAACAAGAAATTAAGGGTCCTTTCTCCCACATGAAGTAGTTGCTCTCATGTTATTTTCTCAAGCTGCTATGGACCAGTTGATGAAGATCACATGGACCATTTGATGGAGATCCAAGTCAAACAGTTTTATGACTTGCTTTCACCAAAGTCCAATGTGGGTAGACACAAAATTCAAAATTTCATGGGTCCCACCTGGGAACACTTCTGGCTTCCATGCCAAAGGATGAGAAGGACACCAAGTCAATAACCAATTAATTGCAGTCGAAGCATGTTAAAAGTGGTTGTTTGTGGTCACCTCTCATTTCTTCTGTTGCTAGGTACTAGTAGTAAGGCCATTTAGGGCTTCACCAAACCCGTTAAATAATTCTCAAGTATTGAAAGCGATCCTCATCTCATTGGTTCACGCTTTGAAACAGAACTCGGTGATCAAAGTTGGAAGTAGTGGTAATGATGGGTAAAATTCCGCCCATAAGCACACGGATATGCTCTTCACATAGGACGTCTCACATGCACATCCTATCATGTATTGGAAATATTTTCTATACTTGTAAGTTATTTTTTATGGGAAATGTTTTCAGTGCTCGATCGATAAGTGTGAGGAATATATCCCATTCCGTTTGAAAAAGATACTATTCAACCAGCTCAGTGAGCCGGGTTGGTCTGTTGAATTAGGGCCATGGTGAATAGACTATACCCTACTTGACCCAACCCCAAAATTGATGTTAGATTTTACGGGGAAAAAAAAAAACTGTCTTAGACCAAACATTTGAACCTTCTAGGCTCAAAACTTGACTCAAATTGGCAAAGACTAATCAGATTTTCAAAAACAAAATCCATGGGCTACAGTTTTGACTTTTTCCCCCCATAACTTTAATTTCTAGTTTGTTGTTTTCTGGTCACAAAACTCAACTACGACTGAAGAGAAGAAAAAGGTCTTTCAAAACAACTATGGCTATAAAATTGATTATTGTACCAATAAATTATTTTGAAACGAATTACTTCTTAAAAAAGAAAAAAGTGAGATGTGTAAAAGATTTCAAACTTAAAAATGGCTTAAATTCAAGAATATTATTGATAATTAATTAACATTAAGGGTGAAACAATTACCTCAACAACTATGCTTTTTCATTCAGTAATGTAAATGACATTTTTAAATTTTGAAATCTTTTCGGTATCCCTCTTTGGCTTCTTTTTCAGCAATCATAAAAAAAAATCACTTCAAATGGCATTATCCAGGTACGTGAATCACAAAATCACATTAACACCTCACACAGTGCGCCTCACAGCACATCCCAATCGTGTATTTTTGAGTTCATTCTTGATTGATTACTTAGCGCATGTTGTACATGTCTTTGTTTCGGATTTAACTATGATGTTGAAATTCAAAAGACATACTACCATCATTTGGCATCATAAAATTGATAACCAGTCAGGTGGGTTTTCATCAAAATTTACATGAGATTTTGATGGATCAAAGTCTTTCTGGTATCTACCTTTCTAGTATCGTAGATTTTAATTTACTTTTAGGCTCTGTTTGTTTGAGGTGTAAAATCAAATCGGAGTAAATCTTATATCCACTTCGATTTTGCAAATGTTTGGATAGAGTGTATATTTACAACATAATCGGTGTAAAACTCCATTTTAAAATATTTTTACATGTAAAAAATTGCATCAAAATTATCGATGTAAAACTTACCCTTTCTACCACCTAAATAAAATTCTTTTCACTCTAACGTCTCTCTTCTCCATTTCTCCATCTCCTCCGTCTCAACCTCCATCTTGCTCGTGGTTTCTCTCTCATTGAAAACCACCCTTAGATATCTCTCTCTCACACTTGGGTGGTGGCAAAGTCGGCCTTCCTAGCGGCCACATTGACGGCAGAAGCTTCAGGCTTCTTTTTAGCATGCAAGGTGAAGTAAGTGACGGCAGCTACTAAAATAAATCCCTCGGCAGCCATGGTCGTCGGAGAGAAGGATAAGGGGCACCGTGGGTGAGCTGCGCCTCCTCCTTGCTGCCTGAACGGCCTCTTAGATGCCTCCGCCCTGGCAGCCTTCATGTCCTCTTGTCTCATCCTATACGCCTCCGCCATTTTCTCCGGTGGTTCTTCGTTCACTACTACTCTCTCTAGATCTCTTTCTCCCATTTGGTGTTGTAGTAGAGCGAACTGTGAAGAGAAGCATGGAGGAAAGAGCCGGTGAGCAATGATGCGTTTGTTACAAGCTACAGGTTAAAGCTACAGGTTGTAGTAGCTATACGCTACATGCTATATTCACACTAACGTGTATTCCAAATTCCGAAAAAAAAAATCATCAAAGTTTACACCTTAGGCTCAGTTTGGAAGGAGTACATACAAAATAATACAAATTAGAAGGCATTGCACTCTACAAATTTGCATTTGCACTCCTTCTGAGCCTTAACAATCAAACACGATTGGTGTAAATATTCAAAAACAACCGGTTTCAATTTTCATCCATCATGACCTTTTTTTAGTAATTAATTATGACTCAACTATGAGTGGTTTGGACCAGCATTTGAATGGTTGGACCAGGACCCAGACCCGGGTTCCAAAATATTGCTGCAGAGAGAGAGAGAGAATATGACAGGCTACCCACTTCTGTCCAACTTTATTCAGGCAGAAAATGACAGCAAACAGTGCAGTTCCAGTCTTCCAGAATAAACCCGGATGAGACGAGGTTTCATCAAGAGAAATGGTTGGACCATGACCCAGAACCGGTTTCCAAAACATTACTGCCAGAGAGAGAGAGGACAGCCTACACACTCCGGACCAACTTGATTCAGGCAGAAAATGACAGAAGACCAAGCAAATCCAGACAAAAACTGGATGGGACGAGGTTTGATCAAGTGCCCCATTTTCATTTCTCTAAAATCTCACATATTGGCCTACCACCCACAAAAGCTGCTAACTGTATTTGAAAAGAAAATCCAGATTATACCAGTAAATACAAAACAAGAGTCAAAATTATCTAATAAAACAAGAACTCAAATCAGATCATGACCCATCCATGCATGTAGTAAGCACTAAGAAACTAAGAACTGAATCACAAAAAAGTAGAAACGCCAAGCGTTTATTGAACCAAAACTAATTAACCAGCAAAATCAAGATTACTTACTTAAACCAAATCTGTATATGGAACAATGGCTGATCAGTGGAACCATGGAACCACTAAAAGCCTCTGTAGATTACAACAAAACATGGCAATATAGCCTTGGGATTGAACACATACAGTTCATCCAAATTTGAGTAGATTCCAGTCGGACCGGCGACTGAATCAAACTCTTCTGCTGGATTGGTGTCTTGGGTCCTCTTAACCCTGCCGGCGATCACCCGGCAAACCAACATTGCTCGCTTATCGTCTTCCGACTTAATTTGAGCATTGTCGTGTGCTTTTCCACTGGTGGCCGTGGTGCAGATCCCGGCTCCGGCGTCGCCGGTGGGGACCTTGAACCCATTCCTTATAATGTTGCAGATGTTGCATTGGGGAATTGAGTTGCACAGATTGGAGGACCCGTTCATGCCTATTGAGCAGACGAAGGTTGTGCAATGGAACCTCAGAAGTTCGTTGCCATCTGCTACACATCTGGGGTGCTTCTTGGCAAGCTTGCTTGCTTTTGCTTTAATGGACTCTCTGTAATCTTCAAATCTAGTGATGGTTTTCTGGCTGTTGTGAACTTTCAGAATCCTGTCTATCTTGCAAACTGCTGCTTGCTTCTTTAACCAACTTGACTGAAATATGATCTCTACTATGTTTCTGCTAGTATCTTCAGGACCCAGCTCAGAAACTGTGGTTTTTGCACCCAAAAAGAGGAGCATTAGATTGCTGAAATGGGATTGAGTTTATATAGATTCATCTCAGAATTCAGAAAGAAACGCAAGAGATCAATTGGGTTTTGGTTAATGAACTTGTAATTTCAGAAAGGAATAAACATGTTGTAGATGCTGACTGAAAGACAAAATCTATTCTGAAATCCATAATAAAGAAAAATATAAAAGAAGAAAGCAGAGATTTAAGAACAGTAATGGATAAAAGAAATAAGAATCACATAAAAGGAAAAAAGAAAAATGAATGCTGCATTACCCGCATGTCTAACAGCTTGATGGACCTCCAAATTCTCAGCTTTGCTGAAAATCTCTCCACATTCGGGACAAGAACAAACTACAGTTCTAAGAGCAGGAGCTTTTCGGACTCCATTAATGGGATCAACAACCGTTCTACACTCATAACAACCTGAAAGCCTCCTCAAAGGCATTCCTCTGAAAGGCCCACCAACAGAAGAACCAGAGGAGAACAAAGACGAGGATGAATAAGAAGAAGAGGGAGTAGGAACAACTCCATTGATCTCGTTCAGAGGAACCTTCATGGATCTGCTAGAAGCAGTATTGGTGGAAGAACAGATTGAAGCCCATTTCTTACAATCTTCAGGTAAAGATGAATCAGGCCTTTGCATGATTCTTGTATCATTACAAAGCGAACCAGAACACCTCATTTTCTTGTACCTCTTACTGTTTGCTACCACAGCTTGCTGCTCTACTGGTTGCACATATTTACAAGTAAGAAGATTCCTAACAACTGCCCAAGGAGGAGGTTTTTCGTTTGGCTTCTGGGGTTGAAGGTTCTGATCCTGGTGGGCTTTCTTGATAGGTTTTCTGGGATTTCTTGGTTCTGCCATTGGAGAGGAAATGGAGGTGGGTTTTCTTCTTCTGGTTTTATCTTTTCTGAGAGATGGGTTGCTTCAGAGAAACATGAATTCTGATTTCAGAGCATGAGATAGGTGGGAAGGTGAAGTTGCAGAGGAGGCTTGCCTTTTTGTGGAGCTATGTGGAATATAAATTCCATTAATTTCATTGATTAGTTGTCGCTAACCCAATATGAAATCTTCTGATGCTACACGAGGATCTGATTATTCAATCTTGTTCCTTGCTTGTGCTGCAACTGACGTAAGTACAGAAGCTGGGGTTAGAAAGAGCTAACAACTTTAGAACTCCACTTCACATGATGAGGTCCCACCATCCAGATCTATCCTGGACCCAAAGGCGAATCAATCAGAGAATCGTCACCATCCAATTGATGGCATTTGGCAATAATGTGAAAAACAAAGAGGTATCTATCAGACGGTCATGATGATCTGGGACCCATGTACGTTTGAGTCAAGCTCTCTCCATTTAAAAGTTAAGGGGTCCCACCCTAGTGGTACCCACAAAGGAGATGGTCCCAGAACATTGAATTCACCAAAAGGTTGATCATCATGGTTGGGCCCACCAATCCAAGGATCTTGACTGTTCAATTGTTGGATTAAATAAACACCTCGGCACATCCAAGAGTATGGTCTAGAGTAAAAAAAAGGGCCAGACTAACGACATTATAATTCCCCTCTCATTGGGAAAAGCTGCTTGTGCTTGATTCCTTCTGCCTCCAAATCAAGCAAGACCCCTACAAAGAATTAAAAGATTAATACTTTAATTAGATAGATTCTCTTGTTCTTCACATTTCCTTTATAAAAAGCAAAACAAGAAATTCCTTCATTTCAAATGGTAAGAAATACTTTTTTACTTCTGACATCACAGCTTTTTCAAATTCTTTTCCCTCTGGAAAAGTAAGAAAGTCTAATTACATTAAATTGATTCAGGAAAGTTGTTTTAATTAAAGTCGATATTTCCAATAAAAGCCTGATTTCCACTGAATTAAGAAAGCTTAATCTCTCACAGTGCTAGTGAAAAGATAAAGATACCCTTAATAAATAAAAAATAAATTAATATGGATATTTTTGTTTTAAATTTATTTCTCTTTTTTGGGGGGTCAAAAATCAATACTCAAGTCAGAAAAAAGCTATCAACGGGTCGGGTCTAATGTTGATTCTGGTTTTGTGGTTTGTGTCCCAATTAACAATTGGGTTGGGACTGATTCATGCTGTTTCGAACCAATTCTACAATTAATAATATGTAAAAGTTTTTCGAATTTTCTTGTAATTTTTATTAAAAATGCTTGTTTTATCAATATATAAATATTTTATTATTTAATGTTATTTTCATTAAACTATATCATCAAAAGTAAAGTTTCATTAAACTATAAATAGCGGTCAGACGTTGTCATACGGTCATACTCACACCCAAACCAATTACCCATATAACTAACTCCCGCGGCTTATTTTTAGCGGGAAATTAAAAAACAATATATAGTTTGCTTTTTAATTAATTTTGATTTTGATTTTCGATAATTTGGGTGGATAATTTAAAAGCAAAAAATAAGCGTACCTTCCGCTGTGTGGATTGTCGGGAAGGGATGGAGGAAATAATAAATTAACAATAATTGGAGCGCGTTGCCTGAAAATATACGCCTATGAAGCAGTAGTTCCTGGCTGCCTGTGATAAATGATACCTCTAGTGAATTCAGCCCGAGATTCCTGTACGGGAGGGATGCTTGTCAGGGCTGCAAATGATATCAGTTTATCCAAATTCGAATTTAAATCCAATGTATAAAGGCAAATCCAATTTCAATCTGTTTATAAATGGATCCAATTTAGATTTTACTCCAAACTTATTTCTGCAAAGAATTTGCCCATACTAATTTCTATCAAAGAAAATAACATGCATATATATATGCAGTTAGGGGTCATTATTACCAAATCCTTTCAAAAGCTTTTCTTAAAAAAAAAAAACTCCCAAAATATGCAGCCGGTTGGATTTTCAAAATCGGGCTCGGCTCAGTTTAGAAAGAGTGTAAATAGAAATATATACAGTAAAAATACATGAAAAATAATATAAAATATAAAGTTTTGCACTCTATGTATTTATATTTATACTTTTTAGGCTCGGTTTGGAAGGAGTACAAATATAAATACGTAGAGTACAAAACCTTATATTTTGTATGTATTCACCCTATACATATTTGCATTTGTACTGTTTCCAAACTAGAACATTTAGGGGGTACAAATGGATCGAATCATGATTGGATCTGATATTATTTTTGTTGGATTTGATCATTCTTTGTTGGATTTTTGGATCAGATAATAGGACCTTATTGAGAATAAAATCAGATCGAATTCAAATCACTCCATAACTGATCCAAAATGATCCAATCCAATCTGACTTATATATGTATATATTTATAAAATATTTACTCATAGAAAGACATGTATGTATTAATATATATGACGAAAATTTGAAGAAATACTTATATTTTTTTGTTTTTCTTTATATAAATTGTTATGCTTTTTTTTCTTTTGATAATTAATTAAATTTTTCAGAATTTGAATCAGATCATATCAGTTTCGAATATCCGACATCCTTAACAAATTCGGATTCAAATCACCATTTGTGAGATCCGATAAAATCTTTGGATCTGATCGTATCTCGGATATGTGTTGTCAGATCAGATTCAGATATACCCCTGATTCGAATTTGGTCCATTCTGTTTGTATCTCCCCCATATTTGTGTATTATTATTCAAGGGAGATTTTCCCAATACATGGTGGGATGGGGCTGTGAGGAATAAATCCCAATTTTTCAAAATCTAAATCCTCTCTGCATATGTAAGTACAATCATTGAGCCTTTCTCCTCACATTTGAAGGCGGGGCAGGTTGGATCTACAACCTATACGATTTAGTTTAATATGATACCTTACATGTATTTGTACACGTTTCAAAATCCCCAAAACTATCTCTGTCCCTTAAACCAATTTTTTGAATAGAAAACCATCCCATCAGGTGGGTACCCATTGGGTAGGGTAATGAGAATGAAGATTTGAGTTTAAGGCCATTTCATCTAAATTATATAAAGAATACTTGCCTTCTTTTTTGTGCAGGTTGTAAAAATTAAATCCCAATACCATATATCATATATGGTTAATACTTACTTGCACATACCACTTGCACATGTGTTCTTACACTAATATTATTAAATGCTAGAGGTTGGGGCAATACCGAGTCTACCCCTCCCAACATTAAGTCATGATCTCTTTTTTAAGAAGATACTAGTTGATGTGTTTAATTGTTATCTCTATCTTTTTTATATTTTCACATTTTTTGTATTTTTATATTTTTAATATTTTTAAAATTCACCAAAGGTTAAAGCACTAGCACACCAAATTTTCCCCAAATTTCCCATAATTCTATTTCTAAAATACCCTTGTAATTTAATGTATTTTTAAGTAATTTCTTTATGGTGGGGAAATTTTGGGGATTCCCTATCCCCAATGAGGGAAGGGTGTTCCACCTGAACCCACTCTGCCACCGGGGACGGGGAGGGGGTGCTCCGCCCTATTGCTATTCCTATTGGGTAGAAACATATGTTTTGTATTGTTAAAATTATTTGGTGTATATTTAATTGGTAGTATTTATTGGTGATAAACAAAAATAATTTCAAATAAAGGATTATGGGGGAGAATGGGAGTTCACACCTTAACATAGGAATTGAATGAAGTGAAAAGTAATAGTTTAAATTACATTTTCTACCTTAACGGTTATATAAGGATCAAATTCAAAAGTAGGGGTGTTTTAGTCAAGAAAAAGTTCACAAAAGTCATTCATTTAATATATAGTAAATATATGATTTAATGAGAGAGGATGAAAGCTAATACCTTAAATATAGGACTTAATAAGAGGAAACGAAACGAATTTAATATAAGTAGTAATTCAAATTATGTTTTTGCCCTTATAATAAAGAGGGGCCAAATTCAACAATAGAGGTATTTTAGTCAAGAAAAAATCTGGAATCTAAACCTGATTCCTACTTTTAATAGTAGTATACATAGATCTAGATATAGATTTATTTGGTGGTTAGTAGTGAGTGTGGTTTTGTAAACAACCAAGGCACTATATGAAGAAGTAAATGTTATAACAATTAAGTTTACATTTTTGCCCAACTAGACAAACAAGGATAACTTCAAAAGTATGGGCATGTCTGCTAAAATACTTTCCAAAGTAAATGCTAYAGTTGATCAAGTGATGTTATTGTCATCGTCTTCGAAGACAACTTAAAAAGCATGGACAATTTAATTTCTATCAAGAAGAAAAGTCCAAAAATCTTAACATGTCATTCATACATTTCAGAGTAGTATAAATTAGTAAAATTGGTTTGGATGATTTTCAAGTAATTCTATTTTTTATGTAATATTTTTTAAATCACTAAAACTGATTCCATTCAACAAATAATCAGGGCTTACATTATTATTCAACCAATCTAGACAAAAGGAAGTATGGAAAAGATGTCTTCGACCAATGTGAACATAAGGAAATTTGGAGCAAAGGATCCAAATATGGCAAGAAGAAACTAGCAAGTGAATGTGCAACCCTATTGGCTCTTATAATCTCTACACCCCCTCAAATGATGCTAGAGAAGAAACATTAGTTTGTTAGCCATTGATGTAGGTGCATCGGGCCAGCCTGTAAAAGGCTGACACATGTTGAACCCCAGGGTGCCAGTCTGAGCGTACCACGAGGACACTCAGACTAGCATGCACAGATTGAACGGACCCATACGTAGGGCACCATGTGGCGCTGGTGGAAGATCTCACCAGGCCCTTGTATGGCTTGCATTTGGACCATCCAAACTCAACTACCCCCAGGCAGCTCCGACTATAAATACGACTCACCTACCATGAGGTAAGGGATCCAAAACTTGAGCAATCTCTGAGCATTAACTTTCTCTGAGGGCTTAAGCTTTACTTGAGACCTCGTTTGGAGCCTTTGGTTCCAAACCTTCGGCTTACTTTACCTGTGTACTAACTTGATCGTTGGAGTCTTCGCCTCAGGTACCCACTCGAGGCTTTTGACACTTCCTTCCTCGCAGGACTCAAACTGAGGCCTCCTTCGGACCCCTCGGGCATCCACTTCAGCATCAGCCCTCGGCTTCTATAGTACTCGAAGAGACCTTCCGCTTCGGACATAGCCCTCGGCCT